TGAGTTTTCCTTTTACTCCAGTCTTGTCCTTTGTAGTAATAGTAGCCACCAGGTATTGAGTGCCTACCACATGGAAGGCCCTCTGCAGGGAGTGATCGCTGTCAATCCTCACAGCAATTCTGAAAACTAAGTATTATTAACCCATTTTACAGATGAGAAACTGAGGGTCATGAAAGTTAAGCGATTTTCTCAAGGTGGTGACAGCCAATGAGATGGAAAGGTGGCATTCAGGTCTATATGACCACCCCATCTATATTCTTTCCACTCTCCTACACTGTGTCCATTTCTATTAGCCTTCTTCAATTAGATCACACTTTCTCTACAATGAATATGAGAGCTCATCAGCTCTTGGTCATAGGCTAAATTTCGGCATCTTCTTATAATGCAATATCATGAAAATGATAAGTAAACCATCTAATCAAAATACAAGCAATCCTAAAGTCAAGGAAAACTGGTAAGAAAATTTTGGGCACAAATTCCTTCTACCCCCAAACTGAGATGCATCTACAGTAATCAACAGTCTACAGAGAAGAACAAGCCTTGGAATTCCTTGAAAAAGCATTTATAGCACAATGAAAGGCTTCTTGAATGACTCTCGAGACCTAGACTCTGGTCTCTGATCAGCCACTGAGCCATCACAGGACTCCGCCCTTCTCTCAACCTCAATTTCACCTCTAAAAACAACAAGTGAAGTGATTGCTAAGATCCCTTCCACCTTTGACATCCCCAGCACTACTATTTTGTGATATTTTAAAGCCCAGGCTGTCGAAAGTGTCTTCTTTACCTACCAACCACTTCTTTTCTGTTCTATTTTGCCCATTCCCTCCTGTTATGTCCTCAATGAAGGTAAATATGTGTATCTGAAATTTTAATATGTGTATTGAGAATTTACTGTGTGTCTAGGTACTGCCTTAGGTATTTTAAGATCATTATTTCATCTAACCCTCATAGTGACCCCGTTAGGTAGATAACATTTTCCATTCATCTTACAGACGAGAAAATTGAGGCTTAGAAAAGTTAAACAGCTTACCTGCAATCACACAGCCAGTATGTGGCAAAGCCAAGATTTGAACTATGAGTTTGACTCAAAGACTCCAACAACTACACTAGATTAACCCATTTTTCAATACTTTTTACTTTTTCCTACTTACTTTCACTATCAGCTAACATTGTGTTCCCGCAAATAAACTTTGATGCCTCTAATAGTATTTCTGCCTCCAATACTAATAACCAAGAAGATAAAAGAAAATAAAACCAGAAATCATCATGGCAATGAGTAAGAGAATTCTCTGTCTTTGTGTTATAAAGTTACCTAAGTGCCCTTTGGCCCTAAAACAACTTTGATCTGATTGCCACTAAAGAAAAGGTGTAAAATTTATTTTTTTAATGGAGGTACTGGGGATTGAACCCAGGACCTTATGTATATACTAAGCATATGCTCTACCACTGAGCTATACCCACCACCACCCCCAAAAAGATATAAAATTTAATAGCCAGCCAGCCATCTATGCATTCAATCAAATTGGCAAATAAACAAAGATTGTGTTTGTTGCTTCGGCTACCATCAACAAACAAGACACCATCCTTTCTCATTAGTTTATAGGCCAGTGCAAGACACACACACGCACAATGGATTTGATAAAATACAACATGAGATTATCAGAGTTTGGAGGGAATGGGAATGAACTGATAAATTACCAGCTCCAAGGCTGAGATACTTGGGATATTTTCTATGGTGTATGCACACGCAGTATCCTTCAGAGAGCAAACTGCAATTATTTTTTTACTATCTAATGAAAGGGATAGCATGAGGAGCTGAAGGAAAAAATATTATTATTTAATGCATTTGATGTAAATATACATGGGTAAGTAGCCGAAATGATATTTTTGCAGGCCCAGGATTTTTTAATTGTATTAAAGTAAAACAGACATGGAGAAAAACATACAAATCAGAAGTATACAGATTGATAAGTTGTCACAAACTAAATTTATCCATTTGACCACCACTCAGGTCAAGAAGCTGGATATTACTAGCACTCTAAAAGCTCCCCCTTATCTTTTCTCCCAGTCCTCACCCTCTCCATCCTCTTGAAGGGAAACCAGCCCTGAATTCTAACACCACAAATTAGTTTTGCCTATTTGTGAGATTTGTACATGTTGTTTTGTGTACCTGTACTCCATTTTCATTTCTGTATACTATTATATATCTATACTACAATTTATTTTTCCATTCTACCTGTTGACAAAAATTTGGATCTTTTGTTTGTCTGTTTGAGGTTATTACAAAAAAACTGAATATGAACCTTCTTGCACAAGTTTTTTAGTGCCCATCTGTATGCATGCCTAACGGCTGTATGCCTTGGAGTGGAATTTCTGGATCATAGGTGATGCATATTCAACTTTGGTTGATCATGCCAAACAGTTTTCTATAGCGTTTGTATCAATTCATCCTCTCACCAACAGAATGTAAAATTCCAGCAGCACTTTAGTCTTGTCAACACTTGGTACTGTCTGAAATGTTAGCAATTCCAGATGGGAGGTTGTAATATCTCATCATGGTTTTCATTTGCATTTTGCTAAAGTGGCTGAATATTTTTTATATATTTACTTGATACAGTCATAAGATTTTGCAGAAACTATTACACATTTGCTAATCATCAATCCACCCTTCTCATATTGTCTTATGGTCCTTCCCATGTTTATATTTTTCTCACTCTGTGGTTGTTTCTTCAATGCAGCCCTTCAGAAGTTCAGCAAAGCCATTTATAAATATGTCAACCACTGGAGAGATTTTCCCTATCCCAGGCTGGATGCCAATCGACTCTCTGACAAGATCTTCATGCTGTTCCGGTATATCATGGATAAGTGGGTCCCCACAACCTCGCCTATGCAAGTGAGTGGGGCCTTAGCATGCCTCAAGCTAGCCATCCTTGCAGGTTCATTGGACCTCCTCTTCTCTTTTTGACATGATAATTAATCTTAGTTCTTTTGGAAAGCTATGAGTTGTATTTTTATCTGGCTTATTAAATCTTCTGTTTTTCCTGTTTCAAATCACTATTTACTCATTATTTCAACCGATATATTTATTAAGTCCCCATGACATGCCAGAGATCATTTCATGCTGGGGAGACAGACCCGAGTCCCCACTCTCATGGAACTGACATACCAATGTGCAGAGAGAACAATGAATAACTAAAGTGATCAAAATTATATAGAATGTCAGCTATTTCATGTCTTATATATCATAACCCATGTTTGAGCTGAGTCACTGACTAGGAAAACATCAATCTACCAAAATTTCCTGTGTCTATGAAAATCACAATTAATTTAAATGACATATAAAGAAAGCTTGACTGCTTCAAAATAGTGTAATGCCTTACAAAGAATAGGTTACACAGTGCATTCACATATGTAATCCCATCCTTATCTTGCTTAATAGCTACAATTTTTTAAAGTAGGCTAAATTATATCCTATTTAGATCTCTTTATTGCTATATTATAAAAGATTTAACACAGCTACCTTCTCTGATTCAGTTTCTTTTCTGTGCTTTGAGCTATTAAAGCTTTTATTTTTTAACATGCTGGGATAGTTAACTCATGAGCCAACATGGAACGTTTAAAATATCTTGTAGAAGTCTTTTCTGCAAAAGCAAAATCCAAAGAATTTGCTGACAACTTTCCTGGCTTCCCACAGGAAGAGTTAGGCAGCCAATAAGAAAGTACACAAAATAATAAGGGAGCGCAGGGAGGGAAGCACAGGAAAGGCCGTGACATTGGAACTGAGCTTGCAACCCATGAAGTCATCCATTACAGAGGAGGTGCAGTCCCTAAAGAGGGGATAAAACCCACAGAAGCATAGGTTGGAGGTAGGGTAACGTCCACACTTGAGTAAGTCCTGTGGGAGAAGGGCAGTCAGACAGGGGAAAGGGGATATAAAGAAACAGAAATAAAAGAAACCAAAAAAGGTGATCTTGGCCACACAATAAAAGCCTTGACTACACAGGACTTTTTTTTTTTAAGAAGTAGGAAACCTTAGAAGGGCTTAAGCAAGAAAAATGAGATCTTAAAAATGAGAAAAGAGTGATTTTCAAGAAACAAAGGCAGATCTGCAGAGTCCATTTCTGTAGTGCTTAAGCAAGAAAAATCTTTAAACGTGTCCACTGCTGGGAAATGTGGTAGAAGAACCTCCCAGGTGACACACAGTCTCGAGGGAAATAAATGGTTATTATTACTAGCCACTAAGTTTTGAGGTAGTTTGCCATACAACAAAATGTAGCTAATAGAAAAAGAAATCATATAATATTAGGTAGAAAAAAGCAGAATATAGGACTATCAAGAGTGGTGTCAATCTTTAAGAAATTAAAATACATAGAAGAAAATATGGAAAAGAAAAGTCAAATAAGGAAATAACATGTTGAAATTACACCACATAGTGTTTATCTGTGAGTGCCGTGGGAACCATGTTTTCTGCTTCATCTTAATCTTTGTAATTTCTAAATTTTTATCATCACTACATATTGCATTTATATTTTATACTTGTTCATTTTTCATGTCAACAGAAGCCAGTTATAGTGGATTGAGAAATAAACGGGTGGCGGGGAGTGGAGACTGCAATGACAGAACACTCCTTCAAAAAGCTTTGCTTTGAGAGAAAAGAAAGAGAAATAGAATCGGATGAAGATAATAGTGGGGTCGAAATGATATGGAATCAAAGTTTTTTTTAATTTTAAATTTATTAACATAGAAAAAGAAAGTGACAGAAGAGCTGGGCAAATACTGAAATGAGTATCAATATAGATAATAGATGTAGATAAAAATATAAATATAAATATAAATATAAAAACTCTACCTCATACAATGATCTGAACATAAACATTTTTTAAAGAAAACTTTCTTGGTTGAAAGCAGTGGAGGAAGTTTTTTGGGGGGAAGTATCTAAAGCTCCTGGTATTCTGAGAAATGTACAGAAAGCATGATGAAGTATTAGAAACGGTATCTGTTTGCTGCCTCTGCAGACTTTGGCCATCATTAAGGCTCACGGACCCACAGTGAGCTTGCTCCTCCACCGGGAAGACCTCTGTGAATACGCCCTGGGCCAGGTCCCCTGGCTCCTGGACCAGTATAAAGACAAAGAGATCGATTTCCACATCACTCAGGTGAGCACCACACCCTAAAGAAACTGATGCCAATAGTTGACCAGCAATTGTCCTAGAGGATATTAAGTTGTAAGAGGGCCTGAGGAACTTAAAGACCTGTTTGGGCAGCTGAACTTATATACGTCTTGCGAAATATGAAGTAGAGAAGAGCTGGGTATAGCTGGAGGGTGGAGACTCCAGAAAAGAGTTTCTTCTTAAGCTGCTGGGGCACTGAACAAGGTAGAGGGGCCAGAATCACTACAAAAATCTGGTAACCACAGGAAGGCTATGTATGGGTGTGTTCTCCTCACAAAATGTAACTGTCTGCCTTCCACATCCTGTCCTGCTGCTTCGTGTGCAGCCTCCAACTAACCTTTGAGAGCTTCTTTCCCAGAGTCTAAGACAAATACTGACGGCAGCAGTCCTTTATGACGTTGGTCTTCCAAAAGCCTTGAAAAAAACTATCTTTATCAATTTACTCCACCAGGTAAGAAGACCATTGGTCAAATCTGATTGTTTCATTTTCACCAGTTTTCTGTTTCTAACACCTACCACCTGATTTTTTGTCATCCAGGTGTGCAGAGTTCCAGAGCCGCCAGTAACAGAAAATGAAATTGAAGCTTCAAGCTGTTTCCTCATTCTAGGTAGGACCCAGCATCCAGAGGGTTTTTAATTAAAATATCTCCAAGTGATGCTGACGACAAGGATGCAGTGTGTGCAAACTGTCACTTTGTCACTTTCACACATACACACAAAATGTTTCTTCAACTCACAGTAGTCTGCGCCTTTCCCCATTCCACCTGTTCCTAAGAGGAGCGCTATAGGTAAGCTGACCAGTCATCCTGGTCTGTCTGGGACTAAAGGACTTCCAGGGAAATAGAACTTTCAGTTCTAAAACCAGAAAGATCTCAGGCATATTTTGGACATTAACTCCTTACTGGATATATGGTCAGCAAATATTTTTTTCCCATTCCATATGTTACCTTTTCATATTTTGTTGATGGTTTCCTTTTCTGAGCAGAAGCCTTTTGGTTTCATTTAGTCCCATGTGTTTATTTTTGCTTTTGTTGCCTCTGCTTTTGGCATCAAATTCAATCATTGCCAAGACCAATGTCACGGAGCTTACTCCCTATGTTTTCTTTGAGGAGTTTGACAGTTTCAGGTCTTGCGTTTAAGTCTTAAATCCATTTTGTTTTAATCTGTGTGTTTGGTGTAAATCCAATTTCATTTTTTTTCACGTGGCTGCCCAGTTTTCCCAGCACCATTTATTGAAAAGACTATTCTTTCCGCTATTGTATATTCGTGGCTCCTTTGGTGAAAATTAATTGACCATATGTACATAGGTTTATTTCCAGGCAAACCAGTATGAGTTGGTAACCCTAAGGCTAGGAAATGCTTTTTTTCTTGGTATTTGAGATTATTTGAAACTCTGTCAAACCCAGTCACCCTTTTTTCTTCCTTGTTATTTCTTAGTATCTGTTCCTTGACTCTCTTTTCCTTCTTCATTCTCTCCCTTTCCTTCTTGCTTTCACATCAGAGTCCCACCCACTACCAGGTTAGAATACCTGATATAGGTTGTAGAAGAAGCACCAAGTCTCCAGGGTCAGGATACAAAACTAATTCAATTACCAGCTGAAGGGTGACTTTGACAATCCTCATAGAATTATCCTCTTCCCATTCACAAATATCTTACCTAAGGTCAAAATGAGTTCTTATGATGCCAGTATTTCTTAAACTTGCAGCCCATTCCAGCCCAGCAGACCTGATGGAATTTTTTGATGAACAGATGAGAAGTAATAATGAAGCCATTCGTACGGGAATCTTGTCTTTGTTAAGATCGGCTATCAGTGCTGAGGGTGAGCAATCATGAGGAAGCCAGA